TGTTTTAAGCCAACAAGCATTAGAGCTTTTTGTTAGGCAGGAAAAGCTAGCTGATATGGAAGATCATAAAATACATCCCACAAACCGCTCCAAAGTAAGGTGCCAGGTGTTTCTGGAAGGAGCTCACTTGTAAGGAAATTGCTAATTTCTGGCTTTGGATTGACAAGGAGGTGGGAGCTGAGCAGGAATGAGAGGTGGAGGAACAACTGAGAGGGAGAGTGGTCCTGAAGCTGTTGCCATGGCGCCCGGGCAGGCAGGGATGGCGAGTAGCCGTCCTAGGCCCACAGTCCACCAGAAACAGCTGCTGCCGCCTTTGGCATGAATGCTTTGGGTCATCAGCGTCTGAGTTTTAGAAACTAAAAACAGGACATATCACCATGTACTTTTGCAGAGGTCAGGAAACTAGGCCCAAGGGCCAAACATGGTCCACTGCTTGTTTTTATAAATAAAGTTTTATTGGAACAGAGCCATGCCTATTCATTTACATATTGTCTATGGCTCCTTTCATGCAGCAATGGCAGAGTTGAGTAGCTGTAACAGAAACCATATGGCCTTTGAAGCCTAAACTATTTACTGCCTGGCTCTTTACAGAATCAATTTGTAACAACTCCTGTACTAGGTAATCAGGGGAGGTTCCACGCAATGGCTGGGTCTTAACCTGAGTCTTGAAGGAAAGAGGCAGTGTTGATTTGGGCACAAAGGAATAGGGAATTGCTGAAAGAACATTACAAGAAGGAATACTGAGGTTATAACCAATGTTACATGACTGTGTGCAAAAGTAATTATAATAATTTCATGACAGTACAAACAATAACTAAGCAGATATACCACTTACTATGTGCCAAGTATATGCTCTACAGTCACTCATTCTATCCTCACAACAATATTAGATGGTAGGTGGTATTATTATCTCCATTTTTCCAATTGAGAAAAGAGAGCAACACAGAGAATGAAAGATGCTTGCCCAAGGTCACAAAACTAGCAAGTAGCCTAGCTAGGATTCAGGTCCTGGCGTTCCCACTCTAGATTCCATACTCTCTGAAAGCTACAGAATGGAAATGTGAATGGGATAAAGGCCAAAACTGTGCATAAATTCTAGCTGTGAGCAATGAGGTTGTCTCTTAAAGACACCTGAAAATCTGCTTTATTACTTTATATCATGAAACCTTCTTGGCTAACTATACCACATGTTCATTTTATGTACCCTTTGTCCCCTATAAAAATTTGCCATTTGTCCTGTTTAGCTGGAAATCCCCTAACAGGACATCACCGTGGTACAGCTAGTGGTTATGATGCCATGGCGATGCTGTGTCAACACAGCAGCCGCTGGCCATTCCCAGAGGTAGCCCACAACCCATTCATTAAATTCTGAGGCTAATACTGCCGCTTGGTCCCTAGGGAGACAGAACGTTCTCTTCCCCAAGCAATAGTCAATACGGTCATTCTGGTCATGACAGGCGGAAGCTACTGTGGATACTCCTTTTTAAAGGTGTAAATTGGGTTCTGTTTGGGAATCCTACTTTACAGCAGGGGATCCCAGCCCAGAGAAGTGATCTTTGATCTCCAGCCAAAGGATGGGCCAGCTCTTATAGGTCAACTGGGGGCCCATGGTGTATGTGCCGTAGCCCAAAACGGTATCATGCCTGGGGCCCATTATAAACAACCAAACTAAAGATAGGCAGAATTCCCAAAGAGAAGTTGTTTCTTGATTTGTTACCTCATAATCACAGGGAGAGAGTTCTAACAGATAGTCTTCAATAATACTCTTTATAGACTAACGGAGCTCACATTGATATACCTCTTTTAGAGAGCATCCTGGCAATTCGTTTAAGCCTTAAAAATGTACAGAGCCATTGACTTAGACATTCCACTTCTACTCATTTATCCTAAGTAAATTATCAGAGATAAACATAAAGGCTATTTATTAAAGCATTATTTATAGTAGAGAAACACTGAGAACACCTCAATTGTACAACAGGGGATTCATGAAATATATTATGATATAACCATAAACCACATTAATGGCATAGCCATAAAAACTATGCAGTTGTTTAAATTTTGGTCATGAAAGATTATTAAATTTTAAAAGAAAGTTAAAACCAGTATACAACATAAAATTCTATCCTTGTAAAAAAACACCAAAAATAACAAGATGCACATACTAATAGAAAAACAGGTTTAACAGGGGTTTTTCTCCCAGGCTAGAACTATGGTTATTTTAATGTTCTATTTCTATTATACAATAAATTCTGCATTGTGTTGGTAATTTTTAAAATGATAACAAAAGTTATATTTAATTTTTTTAAGTTATATATTTTTTCCTTTGGCTGTCACATTATACTTTTGCTTTCTCATGTTTTTCAGTTCTATGAATTTTGTCATGTTTTCCCAGCAAGCCAAAATGCAGACCAGTCTTTCTCAACAACCAGGGGGAAAGGCAGTCCACATTTTCAGAGACCCACCCGTAGTTCAAAAACCCTTTAGTCAGACAACTGGTTGGCAAGCTCATCTGACTGTTTTGGGCTTATAGTTCTTTATTAAAAAGGTACACCCCAACAGGACTCTGAACAGCTTTAGCAAGTTCATCAAACTTGCTTGTGCTGCTACGGGTTTTGTTTTTGTTGGGGTTTTTCCTAAAAAGAGACAGAATCCCAAATTAAAACAAGAGATCAGGGAATTAGCTGACTAAGAGGTGATTAAAACAGTCTGTACTTTACAGAGTGTGAAACTGCTTAATATGTAGGTAGGGCTTGGGATCTGGCATGAGAAGACACGCTGGATAATTTCTTTTCCCAGGACATAAAAGGAGCAGGTAAACTGAGTTGTAACGTCCCTCATTAAGGTTTCTGGTCATGAGATGACAAAGTTTTTTGAAATAAAGGAGTGTCTTTTCATTTAACTTCCAAATGAGCACTAGACAATGATTTATTTATAGATTGCACAACAAATGGACGGAGTGAACTGGGATTCTGCTGAAACCTTCCCAGATCTCAGGATAAATTTAAGTAGGTTCAGCGAGGGGTTACCAATAATAAAGCACTAATTAGATGCACAGATGTTTTGCTTTTTATCCAGCTGCCAACTGGTTGCCGTGTTCTCTTCCTTGACCACCATATCTGAGGCTACTGGAAGAAGGGGCATTCCTTTCAAACCAACACAACCCCAGAGGAAGAGATATTCCTAAGGCTGTAATGAACTTCTCCAAACTGGCCTCACCCTGTAAACAAATTCATGTTTATTCAAATGATTCGAAAAGGAAGGAAACCTCGCATAATTTCTTTGAGGGGCTGACACTCAGGCGGTTCTTCAAGCTGTATCTTTCAGCACCCAGGATGTGCCAGGCTGTGTGTGAGGTGCAGCTGGGGTCCCGGGTCCCACGTCCTGGTCCACTCTGTGTTCCCAGGCCATCAGACGTGCTGGGCGGCAGACCGAATGCAAAACCGGCCCCAGCTGTCCTCCCCCTGTATTCCTGCCTCTTATCTTGTGACTTTGCAGCTCCTCCTGCTAAGAAGTTGAGTTTATGTTCTTACCTGTTGAGTACAGACTGGCCTTCTGACCTGCTTTGGAATGTGTCAGAAGCACAAGCGTGTCCCTTCCGAGCCTCTGGAGGACTCGTGTAGCCCGACTCTCTCTTTTGGAACCCTGCCTGCAAATAACTGGGGCCAGCCTGACGGGATGAGAGGTCCCCCAACAACCGGCAGCACCCTCAGAAGCAGAGCCCACCAGCTAACCTGCGGTGGACCTGGTCCGTGTGGAGCACAGCTAGGACCGCACGAAACCCCCAGAGGAACCTGGCCGAGAGCACCGGCCCATGAGCTGTAAGCCAAATTAACAGTTGTGGTTTCAACAACAAGGACCTCCTGTACAGCACAGGGAACGCTGCTCAATATGATGTAACCACCTAAATGGGAAAAGAGCCTGAGAAAGAATAGGTGTGTGTATACGTTTAACTGAACCACTTTGCTGTACACCTGAGACGAACACGACGTTGTGAATCAACTGTACTCCGATATAAATTAAAAAGTTAAAAAATAAACAAATAAAAAGGCTGTGGTTTCCAGCCATTCCTTTTGAGGACTGGCTCCTGACCCATGCACGCAGTAAGTGCTAACTCTGCTCAGCTAAATGCAAAATGCCTTGGAGCAGCTGGGGGCGGGCAAGGAGGCTGTAATGCTCCAACGTGTCTGCACTGATCAATGCATCATGCAGTTTTGATGCATAAACAGCACACCTGGAAAAAAAAAAAACAAAAAAACAGCACACCTGAACTGCCATCGGCGGGAACAGAGAGAAGCCGTGTTATCTAGGGAAGGGCTGGCTCAAGACAGCCCCAGATCCTTTGAAAGACTGTCTGTGGATGAGTTGGATTTGCCTGTGAAGTCATTCTTTGTTTCTTTTCTCTCTTTAAAAAAAATAAGAAGCTCTTTCACTTAATTAAGCCTGTTGGACTCGATTACGATTGTCTAGTTTGATTCAAAGCAGCCACATAGACTCTCTGACACATGTTCAGCCTCCATGACTCTGTAGGCTGGAATTTTAAATCCAGCTCCCCTGAATTTATGACGCACGCACACACAGTAGCAAGTCCCCACAGGCTGAAAATCAAACTGTAATTCAAAGGCCACAGGGCTGAGGAAACAGCCAGAAGATAAATCCCCATTTCAACCTTGGATTCTCTGCAAGTTGATTCAGGGGATTGTCAGTCATATTTAAAAATGAAATAAAACTACAAAGGCACCAGACGGCATGTTCTAAAGAGAAATAGGGGATGCTTTTCAGGACGCCTTCAAAAGGCTCTTGCGACCTGAAAAGAACTGTTACGGGTTATTTTAAGGGCCCTGGAACATTTGGCTCCCATCAGACATTTGCAGAAGTTTCTGAATTAACTAATGAGCTCTAAGGAAGAAATGAAACCACCACACACAACCCAGAGCACCACACCGATTGGAGGTGACGCGACAAGATATCAAAGCAGCCCAGTCCTGGAGCTGGGCACTCACCTTACACCCCTCGCAGGCGCTGACCCCGTAGTGGTACCCCGATGACTTGTCCTGGCAGACGAAGCAGGGCTTGTACACCCGAGGGGGAGGAAGTGGAGACGGAGGGCTCGGGACCAGTTCCTCGGAGCTGGTGCTCTGTGTTTCAATCGCTACAGTGGAGATGGGAAGGGGGAGGAAAAAGAGAAAGCGTATTTCAGTTCATTGCTTTTTCACCAGCGAGTTCATAGGCCTCTGCCCCCAATTCAGCAATAACATAGCAAGGATAGGCCCACAAAAAGAGCTGCCAGTGTAGGCACTGCAGGGCGATCCTGACTCTAACGTGGTATTGACAGTTTACAAAGCAATCCCCTATGCCTCTCTCATTTGCAGAGCACCGTGGCACCGTGAGGGAGATGGTTTTATCACCATTTTACCCCCAAGAGAAACAGAAACTCAAGGAGTGCAGTGACTTGTCCAAGACCCACTGGGCAGTGGTAAAGCCAAGACACAAAGTCAGATGTTCACTGCACACCCAGGGGTCTTTCGACTCTCATTCCCCCTAGCTTCCAGTTCAATTAGAGTCTCTGAAATGACCCACTTGACCCTGTCTCTCACTTAACCAAAAGGAACTTTCCTTAGGACAAAGGAAGAAAATGCCCAAAGCAGCCATTCAACAAGGACACGGAAAGGGCCGTCAGCATGCGGCCAGAGCCGAGATTCACTAACAGCAGTGGCGGCGAGACCTTTGCTACTCAGAGCCCTCCTTGGGCCAGGAGCGCCAGCACCACGTCAGAGCTTATTAGAAAATGTGCTATCAGGCCCCAGCTCGAGTCCGAGGAGTCAGATCTACATCTTATCCAAACCCCCAGGTGACTGAATGTACACTTAATGTTTGAAAAGCACTGCATTACATTAATGATGGCACAGCCTGACGTTGCTTTTCATTCTAGACTTACAAATACGCGATCCCCCATCTCATTATTTAACCACCCAAAATCCATGAGGAATAGGAATTTATAGAACTTAAGATCTAGGTATTCTCCCATCCCTACCCTCCAGATTTATGCTCAATGTCAAAGCAAGACCTGGCCCTATTCCTATAACAGGCAAAACTGCTCATAAAGGATGAGGAAGTGGGGAAGGGAGGGGCTGAAAGTGGTCAAATAATGTTCCAGAATCTTCCAACCTCCAATCACTTTACAATACACGGCATATTTCCCAGAGTATAAAATTTCCAGTTGTTCCACTGTTCACCATCTCCCAGATTAGCTACTCTACCCACTGGACTGTCCGATAGCCAAATTTTCAGCAAGTCAGCTCTGCCTCCTACACGTACTGTTAATCCATCCTTGTCTGAGGTCTTGCTGCCAGGCCAGCCCAGTGACCCAGCAGCATCTCTCACCCCAGTTACTGCAGAAGCTTCTGCACTGGTCTCCCGGTGCCCACCCTCCCGGCCTAGGGTTCCCTCTGCACACGCACAGTCAGCTAACTGCTCCAAAGTTAAAATCACTGTCTCCCTTACCTGCTGAGAGCCCTCACATGCTCCAGCAGCCACCGATGAGAGCAAAGTCAGTCTCCTTGCTGGGCCCCGCAAGGCTCTTCAGGATATGGGCCTTCAGTAACATCACTGAATTCAGTGACTCTCCTCATTTATTGACTTCTAAATGCTTGGTTTCTGTTCCATCTCTTGAACAGGCCAAGCTCTCGTGCCAACTTACGGGTATTGCGCTGACCATTCTCCCTACCTGGAAATTCTCAGACCTTCACACGTCTAGTCCCTTTTCTCTCTTAGATCTTAGAGCAAATGTCACCTCCTCACGGGTGACTTTTCTAAATAAAAGGCCCCTTCCCACTTCTGGTCTCTATATCTCATTTTATTTTGTTTTCTATAATACCTTAAATAGTGTCTAAATTTAGAGAGTCTGTTTGTGTACAATTTTATATTTTACCTGTGCTACTCCCCCCCAAGTATGGGCCTTGTGAAACCAAGGAACTCAGATGAATTGTTTACAACTCTGTTCCAGGCCTAGAAGAGATGCTGGCACATAGTAGGTGGAGAATCAATAAATATTTGTTGAATTAATACATGAGCTTTTCCCCTTTTCCTTATTTGTCTTCATTCCAAGCCCTAAGTGCCCTTCTAAGTGCCCTTTAAGGCCTTGTTAAATGGTAAAATTTGAAACCGAGTAGCTTTCACAATACTCATTGGCTTCCTTTAAAATTAATTAATTATCCCTTTGGAATAGAATCAACTATAATTATAGTATTGTCATAATTCAGAAGAATCTTGGAATGAATTCATTAGAGTTGGGCAGGTCTAGTAGATAAATCTAGTACTGTCTTTACTGGGTAGCTCAGCACAATTGTGGCAAGGGCTGTACAGGAAGGTGGGCATCGAAGATGTCATGAGAGCTCATCAGATCAGCTATCAAGCTACAAAAGCAACAGCATGCCTTCCCCTAAACCAATCAGCTTCACTGAAAGTAAATGAGTCATAATGGCATCAACAAGAAAGCAGTACAAAATAATACATCGCTCTTTGTTAAAAATCTAAGAAAACAATATAAAATAAGCTACAAGGATACAACACGGGGAATAGAGCCAATATTTTATAATAACTATAAATGGAGTATAACCTTTAAAAATTGTAAAGCACTATATTGTCGCCTGTAACTTATATAATATTGTACATCAACTATATTGCAATAAAAAAAATCTAAGATGCTGCTACTGCTGTTGTTACTATTGTTATTACTGGGTGTCACTGATCCTGAGTCACCATAGATTATAAAATGCATGTTATTCTATCCATTAAGAAAGACAAAAAAGTACTGCCAATTAAATTATGACCCATCAATGCTTGTGAGACACAGCCTGATTTCAGAGATGTTAAAAAATTAAATGCTTCTGGAGCCCTTAAAAAAAAAAATCCTAAGAAAACACATGTAGAATTACTCACAATCCTTTCATTCAGAGAAAATTACTGTTATCTTGGCATCTACCCTTCAAAACATTTTACTATGCGTATAAATGTTTTTGGTTGGTTTGTTTACTTTAAAAAGTGGAATTATACTGTAGATTCTGTTTGGGACTTTGTTTAACTTACTGTGTCATGAGTTTGTTTCCTTGTCAATAAATATTTTTCCCGCAAACGTTCCATTATGATGAATATCTTTGTAGCTAATCTCAGCACATCTCTATTTCCTTAGGCTAAGTTCTCAGAAGTGGAATTATCAGTTCAAAAGTTATGGCTATTTAAGAATACGTTGTGAGTCCTAGGAAGGCTGTGTTAATTTACGCTCCTAATATTAGCACAAGTGAGTCCTCCCCTAAACGCCTCCCAGAACTTTCTGATTGGTTTTATTTGTGTGTCTCTACTTCCCCCCTAGGGGCTGAGCTGTGTTGTCACCACAAGGAGCAATCCCACATTGTGTGCAATGTGGGGAGAGTGTATTTTCATGTTCTACTGGCTCGTGTAGAACAGCTAATCTGGCTTGTCTAGGAAGGTTGTAAATAGAATTCTGTTAGGTCTGGATTCAGCTGTCAGAGTTTATGCCCTGAATTTCAAACGTGGGTGGTAATTTCCATAAATATGCAGCTTCAAATCCATGTACTGAGGGGGTCTAGCATCTCCCCCTCCCAAAGAGAGGAAACTGAACTGCAGGCAATCTAATCCCCGAGAAACTCAGGCAAAGCACATGCAAGTGGGGAGACCTCAGAATCGAAAGCCTTTTTCTATAGATGAGAGTCACTTATAACCAAGGAGTGAATCAGAAAACTTTCCCTCAACAGGTGTATGGATGAAAATGTTCTATTTGGAAGCAATCAAGAGCGAGGGCTCTGGACTTTTATTAAGGCTGTGGTTATTTCACTAGTAGTGTTTTCCCATATTCGTACAATGGATGTTGGTGTGTTCAATCTTTTTTTTTTTTTTCCATAAACTTATTTATTTATTTAGGCTGCGTTGGGTCTTCATTGCTGCGTGCGGGCTTTCTCTAGTTGCGGCGAGCGGGGGCTACTCTTCATTGCGGTGCGCGGGCTTCTCATTGCGGTGGCTTCTTTTGTTGTGGAGCACTGGCTCTAGGTGCATGGGCTTCAGTAGTTGTGGCACGTGGGCTCAGTAGTTGTGGCGCGGGGGCTCTAGAGCACAGGCTCAGTAGTCGTGGCGCACGGGCTTAGTTGCTCCACGGCATGTGGGATCTTCTCGGACCAGAGCTCAAACCCGTGTCCCCTGCATCGGCAGGCGGATTCTTAACCACTGCGCCACCAGGGAAGCCCGGTGTGTTCAAACATTTAATTCCCTGACTATAACATACCAAGTGTGTGTTACACGCTATGGACAGTACATGGTATGATCCCTTAGCCTTGCCAAGTTTGGCCTAATAGAGAGTAAACCAACAATTAGAATATAATACACTGGTTCTCAAACTTGGCTGTGTGTTAGAACTACCTGGGGAACTTTTTTTTTTTGCAGTACGCGAGCCTCTCACCGCCGCGGCCTTTCCCGTTGCGGAGCACAGGCTCCGGATGCGCAGGCTCAGCGGCCATGGCTCACGGGTGCAGCCGCTCCGCGGCATGTGGGATCTTCCTGGACTGGGGCATGAACCCGTGTCCCCCGCATTGGCGGGCAAACTCTCAACCACTGCGCCACCAGGGTAGACCCCTGGGGAGCTTTTAAACATCCTAATGCTTAGATTGTATCTTAGACCTATTATGGCAGAATGCCTGGGAGTGGAAGCCAGGCATCAGTGTTTTTAAAAAAGTATTCCCAGGTGAATCCAAATTGCAGCAGTTTGGGAAACACGGATATGATATGATATGACAGAGAGGGCTGTAAGCCTTATTCAGCTCAGAGGAATCAAGGGAGGCTTCCCAGAGGAGGTGACCAGGCTGTGTTTTGAAGGATGAATTGATTCCGTCTATTGTGGTTTGTAACGTGACTCCTACAAATGCCACATGTGCATCCCAGACAAACATATATAGAAAAGACTTATATATGACAAGAAATAATCATCTTTGGAAAAATTTTCCCATTGGTGGTAAAGCATTAACTATTTGACTATATATATTCAAATATCCCCTCAAAATAGATCATCGTTGGTCCTTCATTTCCTCTGTGTGGCCCGTGACGCTGAGAACAATGCAAAGCAAACAAGAAAAATCTCCGTGG